TGTGACCTTGGGCAAGTCACATCACTGGCTCTGAGCCCAGCTGCCCTCATGCGCAAAGCTGGGTGACAGTCCCTGACCAGTGGGGTGACGAGGGTCAGCTGGGATGACGCATGTAAGTGAGGTCCTGACATACAGGGGATTCCCAGGAATGTTAGCTGAAGCTGAGTGGTCTGGGGGATTGTGTGCTGGGTTTGTTTAAGAGAAAGAATCCTTAAAACCTTCTACCAATAAGTTGTTTATGAGGTGTTCACTCATCAAACCCTGCTGACATCTCTGTTTCTGGCGCTGGGCTAGTCTCGGTAATCTGTGGTCAACATCCTAGTCCAGGGCAGTGGGGGAGACAGACAGTAAATGAGCACAAATAAATGTGCCTTCCCGCAGGGAGCAGCTGACGGCCAAAGTCTGTCCCCTGGCCCTGGGTTCCCCCGAGTCGGCCAGGCCCCCCAGCACCCGCAGCCACGTGGAACGCATTGAGCAGCTCTTGCATTCCAAACACACAGTTCTGCTCTCCCAGGCGCCTTTTCCTGGACCATGCCAGGCTCTCTGCAGGCAGCCAGGGCCTCAGTGCCTGATAAGAGGGCCTCCCACAGCTGCCTTCCAACCCAGCACAGCCAAGGCCAGCTAGGGGAAGGGGTGATGGAGGCGGGAGGGGGTCGTGGGGTAGGCGGCCGCTGGCGCTCAGTAGCTTCTCCCTCACAGCCCCACCAGGGTCTTGGAAAGTGGCCTGAGAGAAGGGGCCAAGTGTTCCCCTGGGGCCCCGGTGCATTGTTATAGAAAAGTAGTAGAAACATTTAAAATACAAGTCCTAAGGTGGGCATTCAGGCCCCCACCAACCTTTCTAATCAAGTTTCCCTTAACTTTATCTTACTTCTCCTCCTTGAGAGAGTCAGGGGTCTCGGGGGCCGTGATGGGTTCTGGGCCCCTCACAGAACAGCGGCAGCTCCGAGTTGACCCCCCTTGGTGGGTCTGATGAATGACTGGGTGAGGGGTGGCGGAGTGCCACCCACACTAACCTCATCTCCCTGAAGGATGCCCTCTGCCGTAAGCATCAGCCTGTTCACAGAGGAGGCACGGAGGCTCGGAGCTGGAATCCAGGCTTCGCCCTTCCCTGCACTCCAGAGGTCTGCAAACTGGCCACACACCCAAATCAGCCTGAGGGCTTGTTAAAACAGAGGGCTGGGTCGACCTTCACGCTTCGGAGTAGAGTAGAGCTGGGGTGGGGCTGGAGAATTTCCCAGTTGATGCTGATGCCCTTGGTCCAGGGCCACACTGTGGGAACCTCTCCCTCC